GATTATACAACGAGGTTCACAGTGTAAACTAAGATTTCATTTTAACTGCCTATTCTACACCCTACGCCTACTCCGATACAATAATGTTTCTATTATGACTTTTATGTAGGTTAAACTAACGTTATTAATAAACGTAAATTAAACAAAATTTTCAACTCTCGGTAGAACCACAGTTACATAACGTTTTAAAATGATATTAAAATATACTTAAATAAATAATATTAAAATAACGTAGATATTTGATTTACTATATGAACCAAACGTTCAAAGGTACGAATACACGAACGTTTTCTATACGTTTAACTAACGTTAAAAATACAGGGTGTTAAAAAAAAGTGTCACAAAATGAAATGGTGAATAGTATGACCCAAAATAAACAGAAAAGTCTTAATAAATATATGACCGCAAATTAACGGTTTCGGAGATACGGACCATTTTGTGTTTATAACAAATTTTTATTATTATAAAAAAACAATGATATTTATTAACAATCAATAACAACATAGAGTTAAATGAGATGTTCAAATACTGACGTAGCGCTTCCCTCACATTGCCATTTGCACGACCGTACATAAAATGCATGTCAGCTAATTCAATATTAGTGTAAACAGGCATAACGAAAATTTATAAAATTATTCACCCACAACAAAATAATAACTGCAAATAGTATCTATGAAAAAACATCGGTAGACTCCGATAAGAAAAGCAAGTTTTTGAGGATGAAAAAAGATAATCAAAAAATGATACAAAACACAAAACACTCCGTATCTCTGAAACCATTCATTTGCGGACATATGTTTATTAAAACTTTTCTGCATATTTTGGCCCATACTACCCCCCGTTTTATTTTGTGATACTTTTTTTTTAACACCCTGTATACGTATATTTAAAAACACTATTAATTTTTAGTTACATAATAACGTTTAAAAATAATATTTGTTATGAAAACTCACAACATTTTGGCTATTATTCTTTGTGTTAACAGTTTTTGTAGAATATTATTTAAATATTAATTACCATCATTAATAATAATTTAATTGTTAATTTTGGACTACTGTCACCCTGTAAAATCCTTAGATGCATTGTGCAACCAAAAAATGGAATGTCGAAGAAAAGAATACCTACCCAAGAAGCGAAACTAAATAGGCGATTCGTGGACAAAAAACTGCCAAGTTTTCTCAGTGTTTTAGAGGTAGTTTAACGTCAAATATGCTGTCAATGTATGTAGAGCAACGTTTGGTATATTATTATTAGCGTTTTGTGAAAATTGCAGTATAGATAAGTAGTTGTATTTAACTAAGTAGTAATTAGAAATTAGATAGTTTTAAAGTTTGTATTACATGTTCATAAATTTTATTGAGCGTTCTTGCATCTAACTGTAATTTTTTTTTATTCTAAATCAGTATTAAGTACCTATAATTATAATTTACGCCTACGTTTAATTACCTAGTCTTTTTTTAAATATGTTATTTTTTTGTTTTTCAAACCAATCAATTTAAAACGGTAAATAAACAATAATATAAAACAATAATTAAAATATATGACAGTACTTCTAGATATGTAACGTGTGGCGGGTGGGTTACCCCCACGGCACTTAGGTCTAACTAGGCCCATTGTATATCCTCCTAAGATGATAGGCACCTCCAGCTTGTGAGCCAGCCTACAGATTTAATGTAGTTGACAACGTCGCCAAGAGGTGCTTCTCTTATATCGGCCGGTGTTAGCCAATATTCGCCGAAAACAAATATTCTAATAAATGAGAGCGACAAGCAATCGTAAAGGATATGCTCAATGATCTCATCTTTTTGTTCGCATACCCTGCAGGGTGAGGATTCTGGCAGCCCCACGAAAGGGAGATGCTTCCGTACTTGGCAATGTCCAGTCAGAATTACTGTGATCAGACGTAGATTCTGTCTAGTCATAGTCAAGTATTTGTTTGTTGTTGTGTTGCCAGGATAACTTAAAAGCTCCCTGGTAACTCTGCAGTTTCTTGTTTCATTCCATCTTTCTTTCAATTTCACATGAGAATATTCTTTAATTAGGTCTGTCACTACCGATGTTGTCAATACAATAGAAGGACAAGGCCCAAAAAGTATTTGGGTAGTGAATCAGCAAAAAACGCTACCTTTCGATGTGGCGTCACTTTTGATCCATCTTAAGGTAACCACTTTGTTGGATGGATATTCTTTTCAAAGCTGCGAGACATTCTAATACAACCCTAAGTAAATTCGTAGTTTGTTCAGGACAAATAGTGCTTATCTGCTATCTATATAGATAAGCATGTTCCTACCAGTGATATTGATTCTGGTGGTTTCTTTTGCTGCTATGAGAACCTCCGTGAGCTCGGTTTGAACTACATTGGCACTATTGCTCACAGCCCATTTTATGTTGAGATTTAAGGAATTGGATTATATTCAACATCCTGAGCATTGTTTGGTTTTAGTACCGTCGGTGTAGATATGAATCGTACCTGCCACTTCCGGCTGGCTCTTCAATTTGTTGTTATATCTTCATATGGCTTATGGAAGATATATCTCGGTGAGATGAGATGAGTATATCGAGCACCTTTCGCCAAAAGCGACGTCTCGCCTCACTAGATCGTACATAAGGTTCTATTTCAACAGTGAAGAGTTGTGTCATCATCTTCAGAGTAACCTCCTTAATATAAATATCAAGGGGAGAAACTTCCATGGCTTTGGTTAATGTGGTTTTCATGGCTTCTGTTATGTTGAGACATGCAGTTATTTGAATTTGTTCTATTTTGGATTTTCGGTACTCAGACAGCTGCACCGTATGTTAGCATAGGTCTTATAATGGCCATGTAAGTCCATGTGATGACTCTGGGGGAGAAAACTCAGGTGCGCCTCACGGTTCAGCGATATTGTTCTTAAGTAATGTATGCTCTTTCGACTCTGTTTTCTAAGTATGAGTTCCATGTTAACTTGTTGTCACAAATGCTACCTAGGTAATTCACCTCGGTCGCAAAATTCTGCTTTGTGTTTAGGAGCTCTGTAGGTTTAAATTCAATTTTCATCAGTTTCCTTGTAAAAGGGACCATTTCTGTGTTCTCGGGATTGATAAACAGTAAATGGTCATTGCACCACTGTTCCATAATTGTTATCAAAATTCCCTATTTGCAGAATGACCAGGTCATCTGCTTTCGCTATTGTGTAGAGAGTGTCATTATTATACCTACAGTACTTATTTCTTATTAAAATATTCTATTTGACATAATGAACATAGTAAGAATTTTTTATCATTGTTATTTTAGTATGTTTTTAATTCTTATGAACCAAACGACAAAAATTGATTAATTTTCATACGTTTCCCAGTGTATTAAGTTCCCTTGCTTTGGTACATACAAAAACTAATTCAGTTTCGCTTCTTGGGTAGGTATTCTTTGGTCGAAGTAACATGTCAAATTAATTATGATGGAAGATTTGCTTTTTGGAATTATTGCTCCTCTTGGCTAGTTAGATACCGTATTAGGTATTTGGAGAAATTTGAGTATCCACGTTTATTGTCTGGTGTTCCACGAATTAATTCTCTCTGCGGTTTAAAAATTTGGTACTTTGTGCTTCACCCCACTGATACGACCGCATGGATATTGGATTGGGTCGCTGCGTTGTTGGCCATGAGTGAAGCGGCCATCACTAACACTGTGCAGGTCTGAGTCAGATCTTTACTTCACCACATTTCAAGTATCGTACCCACCAGAGATACCGGGGAGATGTACTACTAACAAATATCGTGCGGTCCTGAATAAGACATATTCTTAGGGAAACAGATGAGTATAATATCCGCTGTTGTCATATGCCTATTTCTTTATTCTCGTTTTGTTTAAAAAATTATTTACATATATTGAAAAAGCTAAAATAATTTGACCTATTTTATTGCAACTGAACCCAAATTTTGAATCATTAGCTAATTAAATATGGCCGCGCCCTATGTTGGGTGTGTCGGACCTCTCTCTTGCCCCGTATTCGCTCCGTGCGAAGTCATGGAAAGAGAAGCAAAAGCGATACTAGCGCTAGGCGGATAATTCGTGCATTTTAGGGCGATATTTTGTAATTTTGGCATATCAAATACACGCATACATTTTACTTTTTTTCAAAAAAGTAGGTGAAAACAATACAATAAGCAACCGGAGTTGCTGTGTTGAAAATTGTACAAATACTAGCAAAAAAAAAAACAGTGAAACCTATATAAAAAATTTCAGTAGCAAAGTGGAAATTAAATCAAAGAAATAAATGGATAGGTGTACAACAAGAAGAAAAATTACCTTTATTTTTGTAATAATAACAGTAATGCTGGAAATATTAGACATCAGAAACTTGAAAGGTTTTAAATAAACAATAAATTATCATTTTACGATGTTCTTTAATATCCCTTTATTCTTAAATGTTCATTCAGCAAGGACTAGATTTCAAGATTTCTGCCTTTGATTATTATTATATGTGGCTGGAATACAATTTTGTAACTTACTAATGGGAAACCAGTTTTAATTATTCATTCTATGTTTTCTTTCCAACAAAAATGAAAATATAAATAACGATCCTTTTTTTAAACATTTTAACTTCACGCTATTATTAAATGGTATTATTTTATTTTGACAGAATAATTCTTCAATGACAACTTATTAGACTTAGGCAACTTCTTATACATTTTCCAGTAAATACTGTTGCCTGCCTATATTTTATTATTCATTATACATAATTTTCTTTAATTTAAGAGATAAAAATATATAATAATAATAAATTAATGTTTTGCTTGTTTTACAAATCCATATACTTTTATTAAAACTAACATATATACTTTTTAATTACGAATTCTAATAAAAATTGCATTTGTCATTATAGGCAGAAATAGTCCATTAATACCAAAACGAATTGGCGCTGCTGTCGCGAACGGAGCGAATAGCAATCAAAGTATGTGGTTACAAATGACTTATCCTCAGGTTGCTATATCAATGGAAAAAATTCTACAGTGGTCAGTCAATGGATCAGTCACTTCATATATCAAGTTGTTATTGTCAAACTTGTTGTCATTTTTAAAATGTCTTCGTATGTAAAACTATCAGCAAAAAAAGGTTCACATGACCATGTTGACGCATCAGAACTTTTCACTCCAATTCATACCCAACCAGACGATTCTAGTCAGCTGCCTTTTCAAGATTTCTTAGACACTGATTTGAATAACGAAAAATGGGATCTATCACCCCGAGTATCTGTAGTATATTATTATATCTGTATACGATAAAAATTTACAAACATTAGGATTTGCATTAACTATGATTTTTATATTACCCTTATTTATTTAAGTTTTAAGTATGTTAGTAATGCATTTATTGATATTAATAATTTTAAGGGCGACATCGAAAAATTTATGGATATTTACAGCGTTCTATTACCGCCAAGTTTAAAAGGTCGTGAATGGAAACCAATCGATGAAATTTTTCCTAACGTAAGTAAATTAAGTTTTTGCTTAATAAAAGTGACTCAGCTGCATTTTAAGTAGAAGTGAAATAATTAATAAGCTTTACAGGTCTACATGAGTTAGGTCGATATAAAAATAAGTATTTTAGTGGCCTGATGTATTATCTGAACCATCTAAATTAAAAATTGTTGAGGTGGAGAGCGGTAATTGGAAAGGATTTGAAATCGTGCAAGTGTTACGAAGGACAAAGAATCCTTGTTATCAAAAGAAAAATATAGTGGTAAATATATAAAGCAAAATATTTGTATAAACACGAGGTATAAGTTGGAAATAATGCCCATAAATATTGTAGAAATATAAATAAGAAAATACAAAGAACCAAATTGAATGATCTTAATCTAAAAATAAAATTTAATTTAAGAGAAAGGGAAGGTCAAATTTTCAATGTAAAGTTTGATAATCCATTTATATTGATATTTTTATTGTAACAGAGGTGTCGGCATTTTAAGGACATCGTCGGGTAATAGACTAGTTTGTGGGGTCTCTCAATCATACTGTGGGAAAAAATTAAAAATAGAAGTATGAATATTTAAAAGATAAACTGGATCTTTAAAAGTAAAATGCACTACTCGTAGTAATTCGTATGATTTCTTATTGATATCTTTCTGATATACCAGATATTTGACATTTTCTTGTTTATTGATACTGTATCTGTAACGTATCTGTATCGTGAAGAGGGTGGATTACCTTACGGCACTTGGGCCTTATTAGGCCAATGGTGCATCCTCCTGAGATGATAGGCACCTTCTAGCTCGTGAGCCAGCCTACAGATTTAATGCATTTGACAACGTCGCCAAGAAGTGCTTCTCTTATATCGGCCGGTGTTAACCGATACTCGCCGAACACAAATCTTCTAATAAATGAGAGCGTCAAGCAATCGTAAAGGATATGCTCGATGGTCTTATCTTCTTGTTCGCACCCTCTGCAGAGTGCGGATTCTGACAGCCCCATGATATGGAGATGCTTTCGTACTTGGCAATGACCAGTCAGAATGCCTGTGACTAGGCGCAGATTCTGTCTAGTCATATTCAAGTATTTTTTTGCTACAGTGTTGTCAGGATAACTTAAGAGTTCCCTGACAACTCTGCAGTTTCTTGTTTCATCCCATCTTTCCTTGAATTTCATAAGGTTATGTTCTTTAATTAGGTCTGTCACTACCGATTTTGTCAGGCCAATAAAGAGGCCAGGTCCAAAAAGTATTTGGTTGGGTGCTTTCTTGGCTAGTCAATCAGCAAGACGGTTACTTTTCGATGTAGCGTGACATTTAATCCATCTTAAGGTTACCATATTGTTGATGGATACTTCGACCAAAGCTTCATGATAATCTAGAACTAACCCTGAATAGATTCGTGGTCTGTTTAGGGTGAGATAGTGCTTGTCTGCTATCTGTATAGATAAGCATGTTCCTTTCAGTGATATTCTTTCTGGTTATTTCTTTTGCTGCTATGAGAATCCCCGTTAGCTCTGTTTGAACTACACTGGCACTATTGCTCCCAGCCCATTTTATGTTTAGGTTTAAGAATTTGGAGTATATTTTACATCCTGAGCCTTGTTTTATTTTAGAACCGTCGGTGTAGATATGAATCGTATCTGCCACTTCCGGCTCTTTTATTTGTTTTATTATAACTTTATATGGCTTATAAAAGATGTATTTCGGTGAGATGGAGTCCATGTTTGCCTAAAGCAGTGGGAGCGTATCAAGCGCCTCCTGCCAAAAGTGACGCATCGCCTCACCAGATCCTACATAAGGTTCAGAGTAACTTCCTTGATGTAAATATCAAGGGGAGTGAGGCTAAGAATGACTTCCTTGGCTCTAGTCGGTGTTGTTTTCATGGCTCCTGTTATGTTGAGACATGCTATTCTTTGAATTTGTTCTAGTTTACGGATAGCTAGTGATACTGGTCAGTAGTTTATTTTTCGATTAGTAAAAATTATATGAACTATCTTTGTTTCATTTGATTAGATACGCGATTTTTATTGAAATGTCTATGTTTTGAGGGCATTTTTGTAGTTGTTCAGTTGCTGGTATTGGAACAATATATACTGATAGTAAGGCAGTGGTCATCTGCATAAGATATAGCATGGGCCACAAAACACTACTCTGTGGGATTCGAGAAATTCAAAACTCACCGTAGCTCTAACCTATACAATTTAAATAGATAAAGGAGCAAGTATGATCACAAAAAAAGATGAGGATGTAAACCGAACACACTGTGATGAATGTATACATCAATAGTGAAATAAATCATTAACGGGGCTGTAGCCTGGAGTAACAGAACTAGTTTCTTTACACCGAGAGCCAATATCTCCAAAGTATAAATACTAGCCTGTGTTTGCATCACCTACGGCTGCAATAGAGGTGATCTTTACATTTTTTAATGATAAAGAATGTGGCAAAAACGACAAGTTATAAAATGATGAGAAACCTAGTATCGAAATTCTATTAGGTTCAAGACAATATAAAGTACAGTTTAAAAAAAAAAACATCAAAACCAAAGACCTGAGCTGCAAGAACAAATGGAGCCACGAATCTTTTATGCTTGCAACTAAAAAAAAAATGCTATTTAGCGATATACGGATGGTTCCAAAACCATAGAACGAACTGGAACAGGAATTTATAGGCCTAGAACCAGGCAATCTAAAAGTTTGAGTATATATCAAAGCATCTTCCCGGCGAAAATTTACTGCATTGAGAGAAACTATTGCAGAGATCATCATCATGTTCTATAGACAATCGGCCCTCAAAGCGCTAAGCTCTTACGTTCTTAGATCAAAAGTGGTCTGGAGATGCCTGTACTAAAACTAAATGAGCTAGACGAGGAAAATTCAGTTACTTTCACTTGGGTCCCGGGACATAACCGTTTCGCGATATCGATAGTAATAAAATATTACGAAAGATTAAAATAGAATTTGGTAGTAGAAGAACCAATAATTGGAACGATCTCTTGGGGCTAAGGCTAAGATACTACTGGGTAAGTAATGTGAGCATAACTAAAACAAAAACAGATGACGAAATATAATAGAAATCCTTACCAGGCATTGCTCTTCAGTTATGTTTTATGTTGCGATTTAGTAACTTATAAAATTTATTTTTAAATGAAGTGTCACACTTTATAATAAGTATGTAACCGTTTTTGTAATTCAATAGTTGTCATATTTTGCTGAATTCTGAATATAATTAGCTTTTGGATGACATATTATACTCTTCCGATTTACACTTTATCGGTTATAGTAATGGAGGGGAAGGGAATGACGTTAAATGATTAAAAAAATAATAGAAAGGTGTACCCCCTTGGAATAAAAATCGACCAGCAGTTTTTTCAAATTTTCTTTCATGGTACAGCTGCTAAGAAAAGTCCTTACTGAACTATTTTAAGTATGTAAATATTAAGAATGATAAACCACAATAGATAACACAAAGCTTATGATGGATGAAGCAAGTTTTGAGAATGGAGTATAGAAGAGGAGTAGCAAAAGAAGTATAATTTAGTAGAGAAATATACTACTGATGAACTTAAAAACGTATAATACTTAGTATGTGGCTTGAAGAAGATTAAAATAGAACCGAAAGAAAATCAGGAGAAAATTTAAATATCGGGTATTTTTCTAAAATGAAATATAAAATATAAAACCAATAGCAATTGTCATGGTATTGACTATATTAAAAATAAATTTGTAAGAGGCTAGCTCGAATAAACTACGAACTAGAAGTCAAATTTTCGACTACACTTTTAAACAGCTGGTGCTGTATATCGGCAATAACGCAGCTTATGTTGGCTGTCAAGTCACCAATCGTCTCTGGTTTTGTGATCGTAGACTAGCGACACAAAAAATAATCCAAATATGTTAGATCGCACGATCCGCGATCCTAATTCACAGATATATTAAGCGAAATTATGTTCCGTTCAATAAATTGATTAATATGCACACTGTGTGGAATTTTGTGCCATCTGGTTAAAACCACAGCTCTTCCACATTAATGCCATTTAATTTTAGATCGAAAAAGTAATGATGGATCTATAGCACTTTTCATTGACTGTAACTTTCTGACTGGCATCATTTAAAAAAAAAACACCAATGATTCCATCAACCTATAAAGCACAGCAAACTGTTAGTTTATGGTAATATAATAACATTTTAATGTGGACTCATTTGTTTACTCTAAATTTCGCAATTTCGCTTGTTGATGTAGTTTTTCAAACAAATATAAACCACATCGCTGTAAAAATTTTGGTCGTAGCGTACTGTAACACCCGTATGCATAGTCGATAGCCAGCGATTCGTCAGCGATTCGTCAGCGATTCATTTTGGCGGTATCACCAGCGATCCAAATTGGGGACTTTGGTGCAAGAAGGGGACGAGTTATTATTTTTTAAAATGGAGATATGCATTGCATAAGCTTCTACAAGGCATAAGCTATCATTTGATACAACAGCAGGACGAGTATTTTCATAAACAACGAAGGTATAAACTCTTTTAACTCGTCTCTTTTACAAATTTGATGCAGGAACAGCAGAAGTCATGATTACATATTTCATTCTTGCACCAAACCTATATTGATTCATACTCTACAACTATAAATAGCAAGTAAAAGACATGAGGTGTCATTTTTAGCAGTCAGATGAGGGAATTATATTTACAATATAATTTTTGTAAGAAATATATGTTTGCGTATTGTGTAACTCATGTCGTTCTTGTATTAAATGTTTTTTTATTTCTCGTTTTCTTTTATAATCAGTTAGTTTTCTTTTTATGCAAATACAAGATCTGGGTACTTTATAGAAAGAAAACTTTCCCTATAAAATTTAAAAAAGTGACTCATTCCCTTCTTGCACCAAGGTCCTCAATTCTTGTCAAGCGAACGGCGAATTCCTAGAGACTTAATGGTGATCAACTATGCATACGTAAGTGTCGCGAACTGAAACACAATTTACGAAATAACTATTCACAATGTGCAGTCGTTGTTCTAGTGCTACGGCCATATGCACCATTCTTCTGTTAATAGTTATCAGAGAATAAACTACATAACTGACTGTTAAATTGACAATTTTGTATTCACCATTAATAAATAAAATACAACAATCTGTTAAAGGCGTTGTTAATGTAACAAACCAAATTTGGCCTGTTAATTTTACTTAACAGACTGTTTTAATTTTGCTTGTTTGTTTTGAAGGGCTAGATAAGGTTTTATAAGATATGGACAGTCCCAGTCCCAGATTGGTGCTGCATATATTGCTATCTCGGTTATTATAAGAGCTACAAAATCGGTTAAATAGGCAATGTTTCTCCGGATTCTATTATTATTATTTTGTCAGTTATTTTTGGTTTTCGAATAAATCGCGAAAATCCAAAATGGTGGGTTTTTGACAGTTCTCCGTACATACGGTATTTCAATCTAGACATTCTATTGGCACTTTTTTAAGGTCTTTACAATAAAAAATAAAACAAAAGAATTTCTCCTTCCGTTTTCAAGATATTGACTACAACTTTGTTTTTTCTTATGGACGCCATATTGGATTTTTATTGCAATAAATAGAACTGTTAATTCCCTTTTCAAAAATGTATCACAATATGGTATTTTCTTTCAAATAAATGCTGAAATAAACAAATGTAAAAATTTCCTAATTAATTTTGCTGTTCGGCTCAGTTTGGTCTAGTAGACGAGCCAAAAATATCTTTTATAACTGTCAAATTATAGTTGGTTTAAGATTAGATTTTATTCGTTCATTTTCAATTCGTTAATTGTTTTTTTTTTGTTACATTTAATTTCGGTTAGGTTGTCATTATTTTCAAATATGGCTCTTAAGTATACCAATGAAGAAAAATTAGACATATTAGAAACTTACTTCGTAGCTCACAGAAGATCTACAGCGGCTGCGGAAATGTATGAAAATAAATTTCCTGAACGGTATCAACCAAACGCAAGACATTTAAGGGATCTGGTATTAAATTTGCTACATTATGGAAGTTTTGAAAAACCCAGAAATCATAAATATGCTAATAAAAATGAGGAGATAACTGATGCTGTATTACAATACACTAATAATAATCCCTTAGCATCGGTTAGAAAAATTGGTAATGAAACGGATATCTGTAAGTCATCCGCTCATCGAATACTGGACGTTAATAAATATCATCCATACAAACCTAGGATTGTACAAGGTTTATCGGCAAATTATTTTCCCCGAAGAGTAAGAGTAAAAGAGTAAGATTTTGCGAATGGTACATTGAACATATGCGAGAAAATACCAATTTTTCCATGAACATATTATGTATTGATGAAACTCGATTTACCAATTGTGGAGTTTTCAACAGGCATAATATCCATCACTGGGCTATAGAAAACCCAAAACTCACCCCACAAAGACGATTCCAAACAAAATTTGGATTTAATGTTTGGTGCGGCATAATAGGCAAGTATAAAATTAGAATTATGTTTAAATATGTTATTGAAATTAAAACTTTCAGGAAATCAATTAAATGCACCAATAATTTTTAATTGCGAATAATGGCGACATTTTGTAGCCTGCTAGATCCCCAGATATAAATCCCCTTGACTTCTTCTTATGGGGACACATTAAAAACGAAACTTACTCCTCTGAAGCTTCCAAAAATATTGCAGTTTTAGAAGAAAGAGTCCTAAACGCTATGGGTGCAGTGAATAGAAACACATTATTATAAACTCTCTGCAAAATCGTTGTCAAATGTGTTGTAATTAAAATGGTGGCTACATAGAACAAAAATTATCGCAAAATCCTTGTTTTTATATGGTTTTTATAAAGTTCAAATTAAACCGACTATAATTTGACAGTTCTAAAACATAATGTTGGCTCGCCTACTAGACCAAATTGAGCAGAGCAGCAAAACTAATTAGGAAATTTTCAGATTTGTTTATTTCAGCAATCATTTGAAAAAAGTACCATGTTGTGATAGGTTTTTGAAAAGTAAATTAACAATTTTATTTAACGCAATAAAAATCCAATATGGCGTCCATTAGAAAAAACAAAGTTATAGTCAATATCTAGAAAACGGAAGAAGATATTCTTTTATTTTATTTTTTATTGTAAAGAACTTAAAAAAGTGCCCATAGAATGTCTAGACGAAAATACCGTATGTTCTCAAATAATCGAGATACGGATGACTGTCAAAAACCCACCATTTTGGTTTTTCGCGATTTATTTAAAAACCAAAAATAACTGACAAAATGTAATAGCAGTTCTGAAGTTCTGAGAAACATTGCCCATTTAACCGATTTTGTAGCTCTTATAATAACCAAGATAGCAATACATGCAACACCAATTTGGGACATAGTGTATACGTAACAGACTGTTTTCTAACTGAAGATGGTAAATAGATGGTGAATAGCAAATTCTGTTTTCACACTATTATTTTTTATACTACTGTTAGATAACAGAGGACTTAACTGGACAATGGTGCATATGGCCATTAGTCTATGCATGGTAAAATTACAAACCAAATTGAGCACAAATATGTCGCTATAGAAGTGATATTAACTCAAAAATAAACCTCAAAAAAACACCCTATTATATAAGGTTAATAATATATGTTTTTTATCTGATTTTAGATAGATTTCATAATCAAACACGACGACCCGTACATATATCCCGATCTAATAACCGACAATCAACATATCCTACATTCCGAATTTATGAGAAGCTTTATCTCCAGTATCAAAACGTTATATTATTTGAGCAATGCTAAAATGTTTCCTGTTGAATACACGTCGCAAACTTTTTCACCGTCTTTCGAAAAAGAAAGATGGCGTCCTTGGCATCATATCTATTCAAATTGCAAATCTGGAAAGAATTACATACATTTGCCCACTCCCAATAAATCAGGTTTGTATAGGAAAATTAAGATTCTATGAACTCGTTTAACTTCAATTTACCCAATTTTTTCAAATGCAACACCCTGTATATTATTTTAAAATAAAATTTCTTATAAATTTGACAATCCAATGATACCAAACAATATTAGCCAATAACACATCATTGCGTAATTTTTCGATAGCTGTTTAATTATTGGAAATACGAAGAAATTTTTATTATAAAAGTTATGATCATATTTAACAAGTATTCTTAAATATAAAGGATGATCCATAAACGAGGTATTGACCAATAGTTTTTTAGAGCAAATTACCCTGCAGATTGTTTCCATTTTGTCAAACAATTTAATTTGACTTCATTCATTTGCTATGTTGTATATAGGGCGTGTCAAAACGCGAGGCTACGATTTTCTCAATTTTTTAAATGGAATACCCGGTATCAATTAATTGGGTAGTATAACATACAGGGTATTTTATTTAAAAATTTAAAAAATCGTAACCTTTCGTTTTAACACACCCTATATGCAACAGAGCAAATAAATGAAGTCTATTGAAATTTTATTATGGTATGAAAACAATCAAATATGTATAACTACCTGCAGGGTGTTTTCCTTTACAAATGTATAGGTTTGATTAGCCTCTTATTTACGGACCACCCTGTATATTTAGGAATAATTGTTAAATCTGGTCATACGACTTTTATATTAATTTTTTTCGTATTTCCATTAATAAAACAACTATCTATCAATTAGGCACTGATGGGACAGCCTGTATATGTGTTGTTAGCTAACATGTTGGTATCGTTGGATAAGTAAACTTATTAGAATTTTTTTTTACATAATGTACATGGTGTTAAATTTGAAAAAATTGAGTAAATGGAACTTACAATTAGAAATATTTAAGATATGATTCAAAAAACTCTGTATAAAATATTCTAGTTCTATTACCACTATTTGTTAGCTAACTATCTTATAAGTCTGCATTTCAAACAGTTTTTAATTCAGTGTAAACCTACCTAAATTTTAATAGTTTAATTTGGGGTGCATCATTCTCTAATTTCATAAGAAAATTAATTGCTTGGCAACTCTGTAATATTTTAAAATACAATTTAAACAATACATATTTTTATTTGCCTGTAAAATATTTTTCAAATACGTATATTTTTAAATCCATAAAGCTTTTATAAGAAACTTGCGTGTCTATAATACAAATTGAAATATTAAACAATTACATACTAAGGGACATTCTGTATAAGCACTTGCCTATCATCTAATTAGGTACATTTAGGATGATATGACTCGGAATGGATACATTTCTGTATCTGAAACGTGTGGAGGGTGGGTTAAACCACGGCTCTTAGGCCTGACTAGGCCCTTTGTGCATCCTTCTATCTCGTGAGTCAGCCTACAGATTTAATGTAGTTGACAACGTCGCCAAGAGGTGCTTCTCTGATATTGGCCGGTTTTACTAATTCTCGCTGAACTCAAATCTTCTATACTCTGTTTTTAAACTAGGAGGAGCGAATTGAAAAGACGCATTTACACAGGGAAAAGTAACTAGATTTGTTACTAAGAGCTAGTTTCGAAATATAGTCGTGTTCAAAATTTATGAAATAATTATCTTTATCGGCCTTAGTCGGTGAATGGCCAATGAGCGGTTAAGAAACGAATAAATATCATAGAAGTAATTTTTTAATTGGTCCCAGACAACGGTCGAAAATTTCACATTATTGTGATCTGAAATGTGTGTCTAAAACGAAATATCACTGTCAAATTAAAGTCAACATGGTTGTTGATTGATGTCAGAAATACTTTTTTCTTGCTTTTGAAATCGACTTTTTAAGAATAACTATGATCTTTTTAAAATGGATATTGTGTGTGTGTATGTATTTCTGTTTATCACTGGTTAAAATGGATATTAAATATTTAAGAAAATTGTTAATGGAATATCCAGATGTAGCCAGGTTAGTATAAAATATAAAGATCTGTTTACATTTTTAAGGATATATTTGTTATAGTTATAAAAAGTAAAAGTTAATCAGTGAATGACAAGTGGATCACACAGTAACTGGTATCTCTTCTATGAGTAATGTGGATATTATGGCTTATTTAGTGTTAACCCATGGTTAATGCGCTAGAGGGCAAATAAAGGCATTCAAAAGTTTACAGGCCTATGAGTCAGAATTTGTTTTGAAAACTGGAACCAACATTTTCATAACATACATGTCAACATATATTTTTTAAAGTGAACTGTTCATACATACCTATGTATTAATTTTAAGTATTTTTAAAATATTTTTTGTGAAAGTAATGTTAACTCATTGTGCCAAATTAAGATTATCCCTAAAGTAGTAGATGGTGTTTTAAATGTTATAACAATTTTGTAAATGGTTTTATTCTATTCTAATAAATAAAATTGGCTTGAATATTTAGTTACATTTTAATCATTTTGGTTAGAAATTCATCAATTTTTAGTTTTAAAAAATTAGTAATAAAATTATTTTTTTCTAAAATACTTCGGAATTCATCTCTTCATGGTAATCTCCCATCTTTTTACCTTCAAAAACCAATATTGCATTTTCTACAAAACCTTCAGAAATCAGCATGTAAAATAATAATGTGTCTTCCCTTTCTTGTAAGGCTTTTCAGGAATTGCTACCTTTAATAGTACTTAGTGTAGAAGGATCCATAATTGTAGATTTTCAATACAATTGCTTACTGAAGAACTATTATTTACAAAATAAAGTAAAAAACTAAGTAATGGATATGATATCAAATTATAAAATGTCAGAACTGTCAACAATATCAATTATTAGCTGATGTTCATGCTAAAAAGTAATGTGTGAATCTGAGTGTAATCTGACCAATCAGAAGGCTACAGAATTGCCAACTTAAATTCAAATCGCTCCTCTTAGTTTAAAAACATATAGTAAATTAGAGCGTCGAGCAGCGTAGAGAATATGCTCGATGGTCTCGTCTTCTTGTTCGCATGCCCTGTAGAGTGCGGATTCTGCCAGCCCCATGATATGGAGATGCTTTCGTAGTGTCCAGTCAGAATGTCTGTGATCAAGCGCAGATTCTGTCTAGTCTTAGTCAAGTATTTGTTTGCTGTGGAGTTGTCCGCAGTTTCTTGTTTCATCCTATCTTTCCGTGAATCTCACAAGGGAATGTTCTTTAATTGAGTATGTCACTACCGATGTTGTCAGTCCAATAGAGGGGCCAGGTCTTCTGAAACAGACACATAATTCTCCTTAGAAAATCTTTTAATTAGTATACTTATCCTTATTGAGGGTGGGGCAATTTGGCATACATTTCTGCCCATTTTCCTTTTTGTAATACTTTATAAACCAGATAAGCAAATGTAGTTTTTTTTTCGATAGTACATATTCAACCATCAACTTCAACTTTGATTATTGTGCTATAAGTACATAATCTAATCTATACAAAGAAAATTATGTAGATGAAAAAGAGTATTCAACTGCTCGAATATGGTCGTATTAAATAGTACATTAGGGATTAGATTTGAAAGAAGTTAGACTTGTATTGTCTTGTGGACACCTTTTTAGATCTATTAAGAATCTCTGATTTATGCAAAGTAGAATAATTAAAAACTATTATTAAAAAACGAAATGGATAAATAATTATAGGATGGATTATACTGGGTGTTCAATCGTTGAACGAGTCATACAAAATCCCATGTAATTTTAAATGGGGTAAATTATTGGCTTCCTTAATTATTTTAGAGACAAATTCTATTTATTAAAGAGCACTAAAACCCACATCAAAAGAATAACTAGATATTTTTGATTAGCCCGTTTACGAATTATTGCCGATTTCTTTTTAAATATTTGTCCTTTTTTATGACCCTGTACTTATGAGCACCAGTCAAGGTAAAAGACCGTCAAATAGTGACCAATTTAGGTGCCCCATTTTCGAATACAAGCCTCGAAGACGGTTAAAAACTACATCGATGTTAAGTAGAATAAAAGAAATTTTACGAGTGGCTCTTGGGGATAACACATGGAAAATTCGATTTTCCGACCCCAAAATGCACTTGTACATTCAGGTCATTCAAGAAAATATGTTTTTCGGACTAGTGACGATGTACGATTTCATAAATTCGATGAGCTTGTGTGAAAAAATCGGGTAACCTCTCAATTTCACCTTATTTCAACATTATAGCCACTTGAAACATTAAAGCCCTTGATTTTCCGTTCTATTAATTAATCATATAGTGAAAACGGCTTGCATGGAAATATGGTCTGCAAATCACCTTTCATTTTTGTTAGGGAAAGTCGAATTTTCCATGTGTTATCCCCGTAAATTTCCTTTCATTCTACTTAAAATCGATGTACTTTTCAATTCTCTTCGGGGCTTATATGCGAAAATGGGGCACCTAAAACTGTCACTATCTGACGGACTATTTATTGCATTGACAATATTAAAGGTGTATTCATTAATACAGGGCCATAATAAAGAAGTAATATTTAAAAAGAAATCGGGGTTAACTGGTACTTTTCCTATATTATTTGTGTTAGTTAGATTGGGGGAAGGGGATAGGGGGGTGACGTACTACAATTTAGGATACGATAGCTATTCACCCAGTATATACCGTCCAGTTTCTTCTTAAATACAGAAACTTTGACACACTATACTGTATACAGGGTGTTTCTTAAGGATCGGTGAATAATTCAGTGACAAAAAATCTACATAAAAAATTAATAACAGTTCGTTTTATAACATATGGTCTAAATATTTTCGAAACCGCTTGATATACTACACAACAGTTGTTAATAAACAGACTTAAGCTATGGTTTGTTAGATGCGTATGACGTTACGCAATGCGTAAGTCGGAAGGCGCTAGATAATGGAGTTTTAAGGTAAGTGGTTTTTTTTACCCAACGACTAATGGAGTTTGCGTAATACGTAGTGCGACTTACGTACTGCGATTTTAGGCCACCGCGTACCGGTCCGAGAGCAGTCACTGCGACAGATGCATGCGTAGCGTAAGTTGTTAAAGTTTCATTCTCTGTGCAAATGAGGTATGTCGGCTACTATAAAGGCTCTTGAGGACTATCAGCCCCGCTTCACGTTATTAGAGAACGATGACTTGGTGAAGCATGTATAAAAAAATGAAATATTGTGAAAATTATGCATTTCCTTACATTTTTCTCATTTAGTTAAAGAATAGACAGCCAATAAGTCTACCTTGTCTTCTATATCCTGCACCTCAACTAACATCTTCATCATCATCACCAGAGCTTTCTTCTTTACGTCCATCTTGCTCAAAGTTTAAGGTTCATAAGGACCTACTTCTTTACTTGTTTTTGACATACACATAGGTATATACACATAGCAGTCAACGTGTTAACTCAGAAATAAGGTTCCTTATAAAGATAAAATAACACTCAGTAGAAAGCAAGTCCCGAAAATATTACATGCGTGCTATACAGTGAGGCTAGGTCATTTGGATTCAAATTACATCGGAATACAATAAATTTCCTTTCGTTTTCTGCATTTCACCTACTTTGAAATGAAATTCGTCCGAGAAAGAAATATAAACTTACCGTAAAAAACGATAATTATTGTACATCTGGCAACGTGGCCAATAATTGTTCATACACAGAAAAAATAAATCGATAATTTTGTAGCTGGAACGAAGCGAGACAAATATATATGAAAATCACGAAACAAAAGACACCATACAGCGGTATCACTGAGTTAAAAATCGCTACCTCTAAACAATCATTCAGTTATTAAAACCATCTCTAAAACAGAGTGGCTACAATGTTTTTATATGGTGACTTCTTCTTAAAAATGGATGAACTATACAATTACAGATATTCATAGAAAATCTCTAATTTGACAAATAAATTTCTCAAAATACTTGTTAATCGTATTTCCGCTTAGATTTGAAAAATATCCAATAAAATTTAGAAATATTCTGGCAGAAAAATATGTACAATAAAATCTTCTACTTTTAAGCTCTGGTTTTAAAATCATTTTTTATTTTTTTTTTCGTAGGAAAATATGTAGTGCGTTTATTCTGGATGGGATCTTGGAAAAAAATTTACATCAGCGACAAATTGCCATTAAATCTGCAAAATCAACTGCTATTACCGTGCGTACATGTTATTGAAACCGAAAACGGCATTAAATCCAAAAATGATAAAAAAGATGTAGTAAGTGGCTTTCAAATTTTTAATTAAATCAAACAGAGAAACGATTTAAGCATTCCAACTAATATTTTTTTTTTGGTAAAGGCAACTGATAAACTTGTCTGTAATTTATGCTTTAGATAAAGAAAAAAACAATGGAAATATGGCCTGTCCTGTTAGCAAAAGCTCTAATGATACTGGCAAGTTTAACTTGGACCCAAGATAATGAACTTGTAGATTTTGATATCATTCAATGTTTAACTGGATGGGTGTCGCAAAGAACAGATGCAACTAGTAAGTATGGCAGATAACTGGTTATAATTTGGTCTCACCTAATCAAAAATATTTTAGAATATAAATAAAGATACAAATTATTCATTTCATTTTGACATCGAAAATACCTAAAAATTTAAATTTTGCAATTTTTCTTCAATTTCCTCATTACGTTTATTATGGCGAATCTATAAGATAAAAATTGTTGGTTTTAACATTACCCTTTTCTTCATCAAGGATATTGCATTGTTATTGTTTTCAGTATCTTAGATATTTCCGGTCATTCTTCATACACTTTAACATTTGACTTTATATTTGTGTAGTGCCTACTGTTGCACTAATTACTACCTTTCACCTTAATCATAGTTTCCGCAAATTTATAACCTTCAATCTTTGTGGCAGTCGTAGATGGATAAATATTAAGCTCACTTCACCGTGGCTCCCTGGTTGCCGGGAGAGAGGATATTGAAAATAAAACAAAAAATTATTATGACATATTTTTGATTTTACAATTATATACATGACATGTCATTAATTTCTATTTTACAATAATTATACTTCTGTAAATATATCTTTAAACTGCTTAAATATTTTATTGATGGGATAAACAAATAGAGATCCCCTAAAAAATAGAAGAAACCTCTCATCCGAGATCCTGCAGATCCCAATCCGATGCAAATCAGTCGCAGAAAGGAGAACAAGCTGAGAAGTTTCAGCATCAATAACAACAGTAGCAGTGTAACTTGAAATCACTACAGGTGTGAGTTTAATATTTTTCCCGCTGCCACAAATCGGTTCAAATTCAAAACAAACTAGTCTTCACTATGATAGACCAACACGGAGGCAAAAAAAACATAAATTAACATTATTGATCGTCTATATATATTTATCAATAACTTACAATTACCATTTAGTAATTCCCTATATATTACTATACATATACAATAAGACATATAAAATTAAAATATAAAACAATGGTCAAGCGTAAATCAAAAGAGCCTTAACGAAGCAAATAAAGCGCTGTTAAAAGCTCTTTAATTGATTTAGCCGAATCATATCTTGTTGACTATCCTCTTTAAACTATAGATAGACTATAAATACTGTCATAATTTCTTGGATCCAGCCAACATTTAAACATTTGACCTATTAATATTTTTATTTTGAAATTTTTATCTTATAAAACTGAGATAAAAAAAAATCATACATTAATTTAATAAAACCATAAAGTATTCACGTTCCAACAAACAAAGTTATATAAAAAATCAAATTTGCGTTCAATAAAATTATATAAATTTTAAACATGACGTTTAACGTAAAACATTTCAAAAAGGGGGGAAGTATTGTAGTGCCTACTGTTGCACTAATTACTACCTTTCACCTTAATCATAGTTTTCGCAAATTTATAACCTCCAATCTTTGTGGCAGTCGTGGATGGATAAATATTAAGCTCACTTCACCGTAGCTCCCTGGTTGCCGGGAAAGAGGATATTGAAAATAAACCAAAAATTATTATGACATATTTTTGATTTTACAATTATATACATGACATGTCATTAATTTCTATTTTACAATAATTATACTTCTGTAAATATATCTTCAAACTGCTTAAATATTTTATTGATGATATAAACAAATAGAGATCCCATAATTAGGCATTCCAAACTGAATGGCTACCAGTGGGTTTTGACGGGTTATGATATTCCAAAATTATGGCAACCCTGTAGGCCTGGTGATTTGACAAGGTCAATGAAATAGATAGTTACAAATTGTATGTCAGTTTATAGTGCAGAAATATTAGCAATTAAAGAAGCCTTTTCGTTATGTCTAAATCAAGAGGAATTAAATTTTGTCATTTTCACAGACTGCAAAAGTTTAGTTCAAAAGTTTCAAAATTTTAATTTTAATTCAAAAGTTAATTACATAATTTTGGACATTTTAAAACTAAATTTTGAGGCAAAAAATCAGGATAAACGAATATACATATCTTGGGTCAAAGCCCACATGGGAATACCTAATAATGAAAAAGTAGACTTTTTGGCTAAAACTGCAACAAAACTTAATTACATAAGTAATTTTAAAATACCCCTATCCGATCTAAATACTTTTTTCAGATATAAAAGGGATCAAAATTGGCAAGCAAAATATGTAGAGAAGGAAACAGGTAATTTTTATAAATCTATTCAACCTAATATAAGGGTAAAACCGTGGTTTGATAAGCTGTCAAATAGACCACTAATCCAAACGATTAGCAGAATTAGAACTAATCATGCTTTATACCCTCAATATATGAAGCGAATAGGTATAATAGATACTGATTTGTGTATTTGTGATGAGATTGCTGATTTACAACATATATTTTTGGATTGTATTCTAAACGATTTAGAAATTAATTTATTATACCAAAACTTAATTAACAAAAAAATTCAGTTACCTATAAATTTAAAAAATCTACTGACATTTGACAGTATATATAACATACTCTATAATTTCGTCAAAACACTCAAATTAAAACTGTAATTAGGAAATAGAAATAAAACATGTAAGTAGCGATGCTACCAATAAAAAAATTTGTACACCTGACTCGAAAAAAAAATGTTAAGAATAGAAAAAAAAAAAATAAAGACAAAAAAAAACAAAACAAAAATAAAAAAAAACAAAAAAAAAACAAAAATAAACAAAATATTTAAACCATATTAAGTTCAGGTTATTTTAGTTATTAAGGTAGAGCAACTTTAATATAATTTGTAAAAAAATAAAGTTTGTTATATAATATTTTTATTTGTTCACCTGACAATTGACTGGCCTGTTGGTTTATATCCAGTGCCACTAACTTAGTTAAAAAAAAAAAAAGGTCAATGAAATAGATAGTTACATAGAGTGATCATCCATATTTTTCAAAATAAACATAAGCTTATGTCTTGAAGTAAAAATGTAAGCAATTATTTTTTTTTAATGTCTAAAGGCTAAAAATTAGTTTTAAAACACATTTTTTCTAAACCGATTCAAATTAGTAAATATTTGCCAGGCAATATGGCCGCTCGTAAACGACCAGCTTTGAACAATCTATATAACTATATATGTATCATTGACCCTGTCAATGACAACATGACAACAGGGTTGCCATATCTAAACTGTCATTACCCACTGGTAGCCATTTGGACAGGTCGTTGGAATGCCTAATTTGATACTCCACTATCTTCACATACTAGTTCTTCTTTTATTGCACAACTATTATTTACTTCAGAGATAAGGGACATAAAGATAGGAAACGCAACGACCGCAGCAACGATGGCGTCATCTATGCGTTTCAGATGTTAAATAAAGGTACACGTCATTTGTACATATACAGTTTGTAAAAATAAATGTCAATTAGTTGTATGAGGCGTTTTTTAATAATAAACAAAATGATAGATTTTTATGTGGTGAAAATTACTTAAGAACAACTAAAATGGGTGTTCACTTTTTCCAATAATTTTATCATTTGTAAGTTCGGTTCAAAATCTTGTAGAAGTGTAGTTATTACTATCAATATCATACTGTTTTTAAGCACTACAACTATTAATAAATGAATATTTTAGTTAGTGTAATATTTGTTTTGTTTTTAATATGTTGAAAACCATCTATAAACATTATTAGTTAGTCAACTGACTTTTCTTCATATTTTGAGATTATTTTTATATGTAGAAAGCTTGACATTGATTTTTGTGTAAAAAATATTATATGAAACTACCTACCGTTGATCAGTTTTTATTGTAAATTTAATCATTTTCATAATTTGTTACACATGATAAATAAAATATTATATTTTTTCCATCACAACACATTATATTTTTACGCAGCATCCTGCAGTAGTCTGCGGCTATTATAGGAAACGTACAGATAGAACAAGTATTAGAAATTAAAAATTAAAAAAAACCGACTTCAAAAACGTGCAGATGCCATCACCACATCTTAACCAAATTGATATGGGACCACCCCTGAGGTACCCCCTTACTAACAAAAAAAGAATCATATAAATCGGAGAAGGTGGTAAAGCATTATCGCTAAACATACATAAAAAATGAAGAGTTTGAGGATTTTCTCATGGACCCAATTATTATATTTGGACCAAATTTATATGAGACCACCCCTGAAGTACCCCCTTTCTAACAAAAAAAGAATCATTGAAATCGGACATCCCGTTAAAGCATTATCGCGAAACATACATAAAAAATGAAGAGTTTGAGTATTTTCTCATGGACCCAATTATTAGATTTTGACCAAATCTATATGGGACCACCCCTGAAGTACCCCCCTTCTAACAAAAAAAAAGAATCATTGAAATCGGACATCGCGTTAAAGCATTATCGCGAAACATACATAAAAAATTAAGAGTTTGAGGATTTTCTCATGGACCCAATTACTAGATTTTGACTAAATTTATATGGGACCACTCCTGAAGTACCACCTTTCTAACAACAAAAAAATCATTAAAATCGGACACCCTGTTAAAGAATAATCGCTGAACATACATAAAAAAAAAAAAATATCGCGACGAATTGATAACCTCCTCCTTTTTTGAAGTCGGTTAAAAAGAAGTGAGATGTTACTTATCGCCCTACAGTGTGCTGTGGTCGTCATAAGTAAAAGTACAAGTAAAAGAAGATAGAATAGTCCAGAAATGTCATTACCCGTCAAGAACATTCTAGACGACAGTTCGAGAAGGTCAAGAATGCTATATAAGGATGATCCTGACGTCAGTTTGGAGTTTTATGATAAACATTTCATGTTAATTGTAATATATCATCCTGTATACGATGTTTTATAGCGGTATCCAGGGAAATAGATGAGAGGGACGTGTGATGAGAATTGTCATTGTATTAAACTTGATCTAATAAAAATATTTATTCTGAGTATTATTTAGAAGATTTCTAAACAATTCCTTACAATATGGCGCAGTCAGAGCAAAACGAACCAATTATCCAGATCAACTATGAAAAAGGAGATGAAGGTACCCAAGACAACATTATTTTTGGAAAAAA